CCCGCATCCCCTGCATCGGCAGGCGGACTCTCAACCACTGCGCCACCAGGGAAGCCCCTGGCTGATTCTTATTCGTACTTAAGGCCTCAACTACCCTCGGAAGACTTCCCTCCCAAGACTAGGTCTCAGACAGAGGTACAAACTGGTCCGGAAGCCTGGGCCCGGGTCCTTCGCCCGCTGTCTCCGCCCCTATGCCCGCCGTCTCCGCCCCCACGGCGTCCGCAGAGTGACTCCCGGGGCGGAAGGGGCGTGGCTCCGAGACGGAGTGGCCGGGACCCGGAAGTGCGGGCTCACGTGCTTGCGGGCTCACGTGCTCCCGCCCTCTCGGAGGCCTCGGATAAGAATGGCCCTGGAAGAGAAAAACAAACGGAAGAAAAAGAGGAGTGCGCGGGAGGGGTGAGTGGCCCGTGGCTCGTCTGCCTGGGCCGGAGTATGCGTTCGGGACCTCGGGGCGCTAGGGGTGGGGCGTGGCGTCGTGTCGCTGAGTCTCTGATGTTCGTGTCTAGAGAGAACCCGGAGGACGGCGCTTGTGGGAATCTGGCAGGAGACTATGAGGTTGGACAAGTCGCCAGTAGTTTATTCCACGGCAAGCGGCCCTCCAGAGGCAGCACGGGTCGGCTGGCTTCCCTCTTCGGCTCTTTGGAGCCTCAGCTTCAACCCGTGTATGTGCCTGTGCCTGAAGTAAGTCACTACGTTATACCCCGAATGGCCCATTAGAACAACTTTAGAAGCAAGCAACCTACCTTGCAGGGCATGCTTTCTAAAGTGGGGCAGGTAAGGATCAATTTTAAGTAATCTTTCATTACTGGACATATCAGTGAGAGAGAAAAGATGCTACTTTAGAAAGACCACTGAATTATTAAGAAGGATGAGGTCTGAAACATAACTTCAAACTTTTAAAAGGAAACCACCAAAAAAAGGAAACGGGATGAGGAGGAAGAAAGTTCATCCCAAATCCAAAGACCGCTTTTGCAAGAACCTGCCAAAAAAATGAAACTGAAGAAGAAACTTTCTGATGCAGACCGAAAGTTGGCAAACAGGTTGGTAAAATTTCTCTCCTAGTTGATGTTAAAGAAATTAGATGGTAAAGAAATTGACATTCTTATACCAGCAATGTTCATCTTAATTTCTTTTCTCACTTCATAGTTATAATTTAAAAATTTTTATTATGGAAAGTCCCATACATTTTCAAAAGTTGAAAAGGGTAAGGAACCCCATGTACCCAGCATCAGCAGTTATTAATACTTGGCAAATCTTGTTTCATCTTTACCCTATTCATTTCCCCCTCATTATTTGGAAGCAAACCTAAGACTTAGGTTTCATCTATAAATATTTCAGCACGTATGGAAAAGATGAGTTTGCTTTTCTTAAACTTATTCAGTCAGAGATCAAATTTCCCCCATTAGTTTAATTTTTTTAAAAAAACAGTTTATTTGAATTGAGATCCATATAGCAGTACCATTATAGGTTCCTCATTAACTTTCCTCAGCCTGTCAGGCCACTGTCTTCATGCCCTTTATCTCTCTGTTCTCTCTTGGCAGGTGATCTTGTTACCTAATCTGATTTTTTTTTTTTTTTTTTTTTTTTGT